GATGAATGAATCAAAATTAACTTATTTGTAGACTCTGACTGCCCTTTCTCTGCCCTTCTAGTTAAACGAAGAATTGATTGGATTATGATATCATTACACAATTGGATTTACGACATTATTACATTGATTTCCAATTGACTTAATAGAATACGGTTATTTTCGATGCGTTTATTTGTAAGTGAAGGTGAGATGATCCTCATAATATGACATATTCGAGCATTAATTTTTATTAACTTTTATTATGTGTTAGTCTTATTTCATTGTACGGTTATAATTTATATTCACGGCTGACGAGGACTAACAAGGAAACGACGCGAGGTGTTTTCCTCGATTGCTCCGAATTTTTGTCAGTAGATTGGACATCGAAAAAAATCGACACATTTTGCCGTTTGCTTAGACACTCAATAGTTTAAGAGATATTAAGCTATGAAACTAGTCGGATATTCTCAAAACTCTAGATTGCCGGTTCAAACCTCAATAGTGACAATTTTTTTTACTTTTTTTACATTTTTAAAAATTTTACCTATATAAAAAACACGTCTTTCACGTCATTTTTAATCAGAAAAACACAAAAAATTAATTTTAAAGGACTTTTCATCCAAAAACAACTTATATATTTATTCTATCAATGTGTCACTTTCTAAATATTTCTAAATTGTTCTAAAATGTTTATAAATATTTTTAAACTTTCTAAATGCTTATTATAAAACATGCTAACATTTAAAAAAAATTGTCACTACTGACATTTGAACCGGCGATCTAGAGTTTTAAGAGTGTAGTCCGACCAATTTTATAGCTTAATATCTCTTAAACTATTGAGTGTCTGAACAAACGGCAAAATACGTGTTGATTTTTTTTCGATGTCCAACCTATTGGCAAAAATTCAGAACAATCAAGAAAAAACACCTAGCGTCGTTCCCTTGTAAGAGAAATCGAAATGTTCCGTGAAACTTATATGTTCGAATAAAATAAATATTATCACATATTGTACACCTAATATAGCTCGTTTTATAAGAGAAATCGAAATGTTCCGTGAAACTTATATGTTCAAATAAAATAAATATTACTACATATTGTACACCTAATATAGCTCGTTTTAATTTTGAGACCTAGGTTATTTCTATATTTAACTATTTGTAAGTTACACGAGCGTAAAAAGTGATACTAATTATTAATTTTACTTTGTGATATCTTAACTTATTTGTTTGAATCAAAATAATTATGTAGGACGCTTAAGCATGATGAGCAATGCTACAAAAAGTTTTGATTTTCTGAGTGTTCTATGTAATTATTTTGATAGCTCAATAAAATTTCTTTTAGATCAATGTCTAGCTAAATTTTTAGATATTTCAGCAAATTCGTTCTTTCCGTGTACGTTCCAGGAAGAGCCCTGGTGAAAATAAAAATCGATATGTAAATTAGTGTACGGAGAGGAGGCGGGGAAGCAGAACCATAATTCTTAGAAAGGGTAAATTGGAACAATCAAATATAAAAGAAATATCTTAACACTTTGATTATCAAGCTGATTTTGGATTATTAAACTAAATTTAATAAACACAGTATATTATACCAACCAACGTTTTATTTTTTTAATGCCTTAATATAAGGATTATGTTCAGTTTTATAGAAGAATTTGGGCTCCAAATGAACACCTTTGAGATATGTCTAAAATTATAAAGCATCAAAAGAGAACAAAAAATTCCATAAGCCCAACTTTATAGGAGAGATTTCCTGAGTGCTAGAACTATCCAAAATTTGCTATTATGACCATGTACCACTAGTCTTATCCGATTTTTCTGCGCCCAGGACACTTCCCCGTGACGGCTGTAACGAATTGTACCAAAGATGTTGAAGTAATGTCTGAAATGTATTTGGTACATTCCAGAATATTACTGCTCTTGCAAAAATGGCTGTCGTACAGTTAAGTGTTATGTGCACCTGATAACAGTTATATGTTCAGCCGGGGCCCAAACTGAGCATAGTCTTTTTTTTACATTATTTCTTTAATGTTTTAAATATTTAGTAAAATTGTTTTTAATGGAGTAAATAACATCTTACCTACAAAAGAGTGATAGGAATTTTACAAATTTTATGCGTCACACAAGTATAGATAACATAGCAGATAAAATGTTAAAAGGTAAACGCCTCTTTTACGTTTAATGTTCCAATTTACGCTTCCTAAAAATTTTATTTTATGCTTCTGTCACTTACTTCTTACATTCAACTTATACTTTGATCTTTGATTTTTGTTAAGAAAGAGCAAGCTCGATATCAGCATTATAGATTTATTCGTCCGAGTGTATCGAGTGCTGAACGAACACAAACAATCTGATCAATCGACGATGAAACAAAGCTTTCTCCGCGCGCAGGCACAGACTTTTGTTCATGTTTCGCTTAGTTATAAATATATACCGAGTGTAAAAAGATAATATACATGTACTTTGTATTTATGCAAACGACGCGTTTTCTTGTGTCGCGTATTCTTCGTGACGCATTCGAAGATTGTTAGATAATAGCCGCGAGTTTGACCATTCATTCCCGATTCGCTAAGACCTTTCTGGAAGAAATAACATCAATGGTTTTGCTAATTGGTGCGCGAAAGGTGCTGAAAAAACATTATCGCTAAGTTATTAAAGTAACGACATCGACGTGTTTCTTTTTCTATATAATCGCGAACCTCTGCATCATTTCCTACATCAGTCGTCTCGTTCTTACGATTAGCCTCCCTCTAAACCGAATTTTATATAAATGTGTTATTTCTATGAGGTTATCCGTCGGAAATATCCAAGATAAAGCGACGCAAGTACAAGACCATTCGCGTAAATACATTCTTTCTCCCATACACCGATTTTCCGTATGTGTGTTCCGAGTGAAATAAAAAAAGGAACACGGCAGTGTCTCGTGCTATGATGCTGCGCTTGTCTTAGCGCCGAGACATTATCGTGTCTCCAGATCAGGGCTGGCAAAACCCCAGGTTTTTCATATTAAATCCAACTCGCTGATTATAATCGGTTTTATCCAGATTTTCCGTGGTAAAACCATAATAATTTTCCAAAAGGCGCCCTTCACCCCCAATTTCGATGAAATTATGCTCATTCGAAGCGTTTTTGCATGAAATCAAAGAATTTGGCAGAAAAAATATTTAAATATATGGCTTTGTAGTTTGTCCAGCGAAACTGGCGAATATTTTAGCTAATAAATGCAATAAAAGAAATAATGACAAGGTCCTAAAAAAGAATTTTGCATTTTTATGGCAAATCTCTTTAGCTGCTCAGCTACATCAGCAAGTATAGAGAGAATTTTCTCTACATTTGGTCATGTTTGGAGTAAGTTAAGAAATTCATTGGCTCCAGAAAAAGTTGACAAGTTCGTTAAGATTTATAGATACGTAAATAAATAAACATTCTTAAGTGTTTTAACAAAAATATTTTTATATCATATATTTTTTTTATTCGATAATATTTTTATTTTATATATTATATAATATATAACTTAAAAAATGTCATTATTATATAAAAAAGTATTAAATATAAATAATATAAACAAACAACCTTCGTTTTCTGTGATTTACTATCATATTACTTTTATTTACATTTTCTTAGGCTTTAATAATAGTGAATAGTAAATTAAAAGTAAAACCCGTTTGTGGATCTCAATATGGGTTTTTCACTTTAAAACTGGTTTAACCGGTGGGTTTAACTAGGTTGGGCAAAATTTTGCCAGTCCTGCTCCAGATACAATTTGTATAGAGTGGTGCGTCATCAGCGATATGACCTGGAAGGAGGTAATTTTATATAAAATAGATAGATAAATAACAGAAAATAAAATAGTATATGAAACTTCCATATTCTGAAAAAAATATAATTGAAAGATTAGAAAATCAATCAGCGTCTTCGGGTCAATTTATTAATGTCCCAGAAAATTTTTCTTAGTATTCTCTTTATATGATTTTTTATAATTTCTATACAAATTTCAGAATTTCTGTATAATTTTTTTATAACTTTTTAGAACATTTCTCTGATTTGGAACACTTTTCAGAAATACTTAGAAAATTTATATCTTTTCTGGAATTCTTTATACATGTGATTTCAAATTATTCTAAGATTTTGAAAATGTTTCATTTTATAACTTAATTGTGAAGAAAACTTATAAAATCTAAAGAAGTTTAAACTATCTTTTCAGAAATGTTCATAAATTAAAAATATAAAGTTCCTTAAAAATATTATGAGCTTCTATAAACATTTTTTTCACAAGGACTAAGTTAACTTCCAATTAAACGTAACGGCTATCTACGCGTAAATATACAAATATATTCCATTTAACAAAATTCTTCTCTCTATTTTTTACTATTTTTAAACAAACTATTAAATTGTTTTATTTATACTGTGATAGCGTTAAATAATTTATATTGAATATTGTCCAGGCTTAGAAATAATAATAAAGAACATCAGTATCATCGAGATTATCAAGAATTTCTCAAAATTTTGTTCTAGCTTTTCTTTTGTTTTTAACTGTAAAAATCATTATTCCTTCCCAGTTACATGACCAATAACAGACTACTCTGTACTAATCGGTAGATTAAACGTCTCCTCTACAAAATCTCTCTACTAGAAGTCTTGTGACAAAAGAATGTCATTAGATATATCGAATCCTCGGTACATCAGGTAAAAAAGTGCACTTGCCTCGGCATATAAATTTGCAACGTAAATTAGTTTATATTGTTGTATATTATATATGTATATAGATACTGATGTACGTAACTAAGATTTCGCCGACATTCCGTTAAAATCTGATTAGCAGTTTCCTTTGTTACAAAAAAATGTCAAAAGACAAAATCGTTCCAGTAGTATAAATCTTTTGTTCTATACCTCTGATAAATAAAACGTTATTTCTGTTTTCCTCACAAGAAGAAATACATTCCACGAGTCTCTCTTTTTTTTTTTAGAAAAAGAGAGACTCGTATTCTCTTTTTCTAAAAAAAGAGACACACTGTACTCTCATATCTATATACACATTAGCATATGTACAGGCTATACACAAAATGTCCCAGACGTAAGCGCTTCTTTTTCGAGGATCAAACAATAGCAAGATCGTTCGTCCGTGCCGTTAATAATTTACTGCTCACTCCAGTACTACCTTTTATCTCAACGTCAGGCCGATTATCTTCCTTCGGTTGGCTTTCGGTGTAGTTTTTCATCTTTTATCATTGATCATAGAGGATGCGCCACGTTCTAGGAAATTTCGCATATATTTCAAGATGTTACGAAAGAATGGCATTGTTCTCCCTTCCAAAGAAATTCACCCAGCCTCAGCTTTTTTCTCCCTCATTCTCCTTTGCTTCTCGGTCGATATTGACTCTCTTCGCCGGATTCAACTTTCACACGAGTCGTCGAACAAAAACCCGTAACTCGATCATTTCCCTCCTCTCCATTCCGTTCCGCCTTTTCTGTTTCGCCCGTTCGTTTGTATTTTAGGCCTCTTCGGAATGTGAACCCTGAGAACTGCGTTTCTTCTTGTGGTTGTTATGATGATGGTAGCTGTGGTGCTGATGGTGGTGGTGATGTTCCCGATGCTGCATCAAAGCGTCCGTCTCTGGCTGGTTTTGATGGCCTACCAGGAGGTCCAGGGTGCCCTTAGGTACAACGGGCGCCTGTTCGCTTGTTGGCGGAATCGGTGTCGCGATCGGTGACTCGACCGGAAGTGGCACGCAGTGTAATACGTAACATCTCACACCCGCCAAGATAAAGCCTGAAACAATAATTAAGCAATGATTAGAGGCGTATTTTTACATCGGAGTCTCGTTAACTGCAGATGAGTCAAGTGGTGACGAGCACGCGCGGTCACCAACACGCCGATCGATGAGCGCGCTTATAATCCTTTATTTGACGCTCTGCAATCGGCTATTATGCCTATTCTACAATAGGGTCGCAGGTCGTAAGCCGTAAAAATTGATCAATCACAGACATCACAGTTGAATACGAAAAAAATAATAGACTATGATTGCTTAATTTCTTACAGCTTATGGATTACGAGCCTCTTATAGAACCAGTTCTAACGGATAGTTTTAAAGGGGAAATTAATTCAGAATTGGCCGGAAAATTCGAATTTATTAAAAAATTCCATATATCTCCCGTTCTCTCTCTCTAAATAAACATATTCTGCTTAATCTAAATCGATTCAATGTAAATTAATTTATTATTGCAATCATATACACATAAATAAATAAACAGTAAATTCGTAAAAACAATTGCTTCATTTCTCGACTATTGTTGGTAAGTTGATGATGAAACAAGCTGGAAATATTTTCATACCTCTACAAAATCATTGGAGAGAACAAAGTATTTTCGATTTTTTCATCAACCTACGACATGGAACGCTTATATTGTAAAACGCGTTTATATTAAAGATTTTTCGCTTGTTCTGCAAGAGCATGTCTTATGATGTACATAAAAGCTAACGCGATGCAAAAGAAGGATTTTCCATATCTAAGAAAAGGCTTACCCAGTATAAGTAGGGCAGCGCCTGCCACCAGTAACGCCAACCTGTGGTTGGTGGTCGTTGCACCCGGGACGAGTTGAACGAGACCGACCACGAGCACCACCGCGCCCAACAACAGGCACACCACCACTGCGTGCAGCCCAGATATCTGTAGACAACGATCTTCATCAGGCGACGAATATGCTTACTTTCGCTGTCGTTTCCGGCGCTTATACATATTATGTATACACCATTATATTATTTATAAGTTCCCAACATTCTTAAATATAAAATAAGAACACATTCTTCGAATTTTTGTTTAATACAACTATAATAATTTTCAATATCGGTTAAGTTAGGTTAAGTTGATGCGACTTACTCATCGCATTGTCTCCAATTTCATTATTTCTGACTGAGAATTCGCTAACAACTTAAGAAAACATGCATGGACAATTTTTTCGAACATTTCAACTGCCGGCAAGATACATACCACCGATACCAGCTTAATAATCATGCTGCATTTTCTTACTGGCAACTATTTTTACCAATATGAGAAAACACTAAATAGTTCTCAGAATTCTATTGTGACATCCTGTATATGTGAGGCATTCTGTCAAATCAGCCACCCCTCTGCCCATTTTAATTTTTGAGATAATTCTTTAAAAAGGCTTAAAATTTTCATCGAAATATCTATTTTTTGGTGCCGTATGCCGTTTTTGAAAATTCAAAATGGTGGACCCAAAATGGCGACCAGAATGAAAAAAGCATTGGAAAAATTAATGGTATCGTGAATAAACGTGCACGATGTGATGTAGAGGTCTGATCCGTGTGCGTGTGTGCGTGTGTGCGTGCGTGTGTGTATATTGACTTTACAACTTCGATTGTTAATAATTATCGTTAGAACTTTTGAAATCTTGAGACCAGCGTCCGGAGAGCGTCAGCTGCATTGCAATTGCCACGGCAAAGAATCTACCGAACTTTAAGAAATGATACCGCCATCCGTACTATATTCAACAAGTGCAGAATTTATTACCTCAGGATTATTTCAAGAGGTTGAATTTTAGCAATTGATTTCTTGAGCAATATAACAATAATTCATTTCTATGAAAAATAATCTGGACGGACGAAGCTACATTTACAAGAGGAGGGATTATTAATCAAAGAAATTATCATGTATGGGGTCATGAAAATCCAAGGACAGTTAGGGAAAGTAGGTTCCAGCATGAATTTGCTGTTAATGTCTGGCTCGGAATTTGGAATGACTGTCTTCTAGTAGGACCATTTTTTTTTACCCGACAGATTAAATGCAGCCAGATATACTGAGTTTTTGGAGACTGATTTCTTTGATTATTTAGAAGACATTCACCTGCAGCAACGGATTGAAATGTGGTTTCAACTCGATGGATGTCCAACTCATTATGGCAGAACTACTCGAGCTTGGCTAGACAGACATTATCCACGACGATGGATTGGACATAGAAGAATAGTACCTTGGCCACCCCGATCACCTGATTTGACACCACTGGACTTTTTTGTATGGGGGGTCATGAAGCAGGAAGTTTATTCGTCATCAGTCAACTCAAGAGAATAATTAAAGAACCGAATCGAGGCTGCAGTGCACCAAATATCGCCAGATCAGTGATTGGCTGCAACACGAGCTGTCCGTACTAGATGCAATGCTTGCATTGCTGCAAGAGGCCAACATTTTGAACAATATCTACATTAAGCAAGTGAATAAATACAACGTGAATAAGTAATGAGAAAGTACAAAAATGAAAACTACGTTGTTTTTTTTTTGCGATTTTCTTCAAAACGAAGCAAAAACGAGCATATCTCTACAAGACTTTTTGTTAGTTTATTGATCCTCTACACGCTCCCGAAGTTTAGACATTTAAATTCGGGACACCCTGTATACCACAAGCAACTGATCATTTTTAACGCAAAACTAAGATATTAAGTTTTATTGTCCTTATAAAAAAACAAACCCATACGGAATTGAGTCCGTAAACTTCTTTGCAACTTCTACTCCATTCGCTATTTCTGCGCTTGTACACTTCGTAAGTTAGGAAACTGTAATTATTAAGTGTCAAGCACAGTTCCTCGAACATTGACTTTACGTCAATCGGTATATTATCATAATTAATTGTTACCTTGCCGCATAAATAAAGCTCAGGCAAGGGCTCCAAATTGTTGTGCCCGTGCGGACTAGGAGTGGGCGGCGAGCCTTGAAGGGGTGGTAACCATTGCCCTCCTAAATAGAGCTGACTTGGCCGCTTCAACCTTTTTTCTTGCCTTCTACGCTCATGGCGGACAGCCACCGCTGGCATAGCACCAATCATCCTAATCAAACAAAAAGCCAACACTTTCATGTATACTATTCGTCAAAAAGAAAATATTGTAGCAATCACATTGCCGAATTCCATAAACATGACTTACCGGAATTAATTGACAAAGCGCGATATATCTATTAACAAACGGTTTAATTGTCGAATTGAATCTAATATTGGTTTTTCAATATTAAATTGCAAAATATTGTAGGCGAATACGTTTATATTTATACCGTGCATTATTATTTATAATGCCTTTCTTTCATAAACGGAATATACAATAGCTAAAAAAGATATTTGCGCACTTCGAGATAATTTCGCGCAACATAGAATACCACGTGCAGATAAGAACACCTTGAAACATCCTTCTGCTCTCTCTTCGTAAAAAATTATTTTAACAAGACCAGCAAATTCGAAATCGAAATCGAATCATCCTTAAATAACAAAACTTAAACAATAGAAATTTATGTTCCATTACTTTCTAAAAAATTTGCTTGAAAAAATAACTAAGTATGTTAATAATGTTCTTACTAAATATTTACTAATTTCAGCGCTATTTCGAGGACACCGCTTCGTGCGAATTATCAAAATGTCTCCGAATCTCTCTGTTTAGCAGCATTATTTTTTACTTGCCGACAATAAACATTTCAATAATTTATCAAAAAGAAGAGCGTTGTAAAAGCAAAGACTTTTTATCGGCTCGTGGCGTTCTACGATATGAACTGACACCGGCTTACTTTTGCATCAAACGCGTTATGAACTTTGGTAACCTCGGTTGACCTCGAGGCCGGTCGATACATCATTGCATCCGCCCTCCGGCCCGCAGTCGATGCAGCAAGTTGCAGGAAGCCATTCCGAGTAGGAAAAGAAAAAAACAATCTGATATATCTCGACGACTCTATTCCGTGCTTATCAAGATTTATCTCGTTAACGAAACAATAACTCCAGTGAGCTGTCGTCTGACAAAACTAATCAGAGATCAAGATTATTTTTTCTCGTTCCGGTTTGGAACACCAACGTGTACGAGATAACTCAAACATATAACCGACTGTGATCCAAAGCGAATAAAATCTCATAATAAAATAAATGGATAAACTAAAACGCGCATGAATAGGTATATAATAATTCAATTCGTAGAATGGAGTGGGGAATTTCTGAAAGAGTAGAAGAACAATCATTCCTTAAGAATGGAGCATTTCATAAATATTTATTCTCGAAAAATTCGTGCATCAAATTGTATATAAGTGGTACAATAGAGAAATCGGAATAAGAAAAGCTTTTAATTTTTAGGTAAAATAACTACCATAGTACAGCATCGTAAAACAGCATCGATGTAATTTCATAGTAAGTAATAATTACAACAACGGTTCTCTTATCGTGCAATGATCTTCGTGGTATTGACTTTATCTTTTGCAAATACACGTTTTCATGCGGGGCGCAAGCAAAGGGAAAGATAGCGCATTGATTCGATAACAGGATACGATATAAACGATAGCCGCGTATATCGATCCCATCCCTCTTGTATCATGTCCCCTATAATTCCGACTCCTTCGAGTAAATGTATCCTTGCACGTCATAATAAATTTCGCGATAAATATAGTAATATCTCTAAATCTTTCCAAACAGATATCATCCATCATTTCTTGCAACGTTCCACAAGCATAGGGATGCAACGGATATCCGGTATCTGATATCCGCGCTATTCGGCTTTCCAGTTTTTTATATCCGGGCGGATAATTTGACTATCCGGCTGGATCAAAAAAGTCGTTTTCCACAATTGAAATAGAAATAATTATACATATTGAAAATTTAAATTTTCAAAATATTTTATATATATATATATATATCTGACCCATGATGGAAATATACAAGGTGTAGCATTGCCGTGGATGCGCAGTCGTCTTTCTACTCAACCAATGGGATACGTCCTCCAAAATGCATACAAAGGAGCACGATATAGCATGAAGTTGCCCGAAGTCATGTCTTTTTGGTTATTTGGTCTTTATATTGTAGTTTGCGAGTTTAATTCAGTTTAATTCATTTGCGAAGTAAAATTATGTCGTGGTGCAGTGTACCTAATTATCGAAATGGATTTATTAACCCTACAGCAAAGAACATAAGGTATTTTACGTTCCTAAAGAAGCCTGAAATTCGACATCAGTGGCTCAATGTATGCCAATAGTAGCAAGTAATAAGTTAATAAATAAACTCAATATACTACAATAAACTATAATAAAAACAAATAATTATGTATAATTATTGTCGCATTATTTGCGATATATTTACAGTACTGTCACAATCAAAACATATGTAAAAATTATTGCGAGAAATCACTCTCCTCTACAACATATATAAAGGATACTCAAATCGGTGAGATGTTACCTAAGGTACATGTATACATTTTTACAAAAAAACAATTAGATTTTCAATTTTTTAAACTCTTTGTGCAATTTTCGAATAAAATCCAATTATCCAGCTTATCCGATTCTACTGAATTAATTCGATTATCCGGTTTTACCGGATAAGATCCGATATCCGATTATCCGACAAATCATTATCCGTTGCATCCCTAGTTTTAACATCAAAACATGAATGAAAAGAAGCGGAATATGACTTCGTCTTTCGATTCACTTTTTCAACTGTGTTTAATATTTCGACAAGAATTCTCAAAGGCAGCGGTGCGAGGAAAATTCATCGAGATACAGTAAATTTATTCACGAAGTGAGCATTTCGGTTTCGTTTGTGCCGTATGTAATACTTTCAGCGTCAAAACTTCGCCGTTTTCAATCGTCCACGCTCTTCTCAGGGAAACGATGATTCTTCGTTATCGTTAACTAACGACTAATAAGCAAGACCATTCACAGCGGACACAACGAGTGCATAAGATGAAGATTCCTATCATCGTTTAAGCCTCAATCTACTTAAGTTTAATCAGCCTTCCTTTAACCTTTTGTTCTACGTTTTAAAGTGTAACGATTTTTTCTGGCAAAAGACATTTCCCGGGTTTACGTAATTCCTAAGCTTTAAGCGAGCTGGACAGATCTCAGATATATAAAATTTAGAGCTTAAAGCAAAGGATTAAAGATTTATGAACTTATTGTAGATTAGAGTTAAAGAGTCATTTGAGAGAGATTCGCTTTGCAAAACTGATCAACGCAACTGCAATATGCAGCAAATTTATTTATACATTAAAATCCATTTCGAGCTACATTTCCATTGCGCGGTATGTATGCCATCCTTCTTTCTCTCCATATTTTCCCCCTTCGGTCAATTCTTCAGGTTCATTTTCCTCGGAAATAATGACGGAACAATAATTTTCAAATTACGAACAATAACTGAAAAAGAGACTTCCTTCGGCGAGTCAAAATTTAGAAAGCTAAATTGATTGCACTTTACAAAAAAGTTAAACATTCTTCAGCTAAACTTGAGGAAGTTTAATAGAATTCTAAACTAACGTTTAAATGCAGATGCGTAACGTTGTAGAAATTGGAAAATTGTAATAAATTATCTCTTTATCCTTCGGTACTTTTGAAGGAAGCGCCGAGAAGAAGTCGACTTTTCGATCAATCGAAGAATCTATCGTTGAAAAATAATGCACAAGTGAGGAGTTCTCTTGCGTAAGTAAAATGTAAATCCTGCGAACTCTAGAAATTTCTTTAAGGTTACCTCCATAGCAAAAACATCACAACAATCATGGTTATGTTATGATGACATGCAAATGTCCGCTTTGTTACAAATGCGATGTCACGACAACGTCGTGGTGGTATGCGAATGTCTTTGTAATATGTGTTATTTTGGCTGTGTTCTAAAATTGACTGCTAGTACTGAAATCTATAGTGCATGTAACGTAAATTGTAGTAGTTTCAGTGCTGGCAGTAAATTTGAAACACAGCCTTTGTTATGACTATCTCACATTGACATCATATTTTCTTCCTGACATTGTGACTCCATTGTGACGTGAATGTGACTCTTTGCTATGGGGGTACAATCCACTTAATATTACAAACACTTTGAAATATTCTTTGATTGGTCAATTAGTAAAATTCTTTCTTCTGATTGATCAATCAAATGCCTCGAAGCATTTTCAACGTTAAATAGATTGCACCCTGAAGACTCTGAAATGACAACGCGAAACGAATAAGACAACAGATAACTCTATAGGCAGACTTGTCTTCTTCAAAGATGACCTTTCCTCTACGCGTAGGAATTAATATATGACTTATGCACTTGGTCAAATATTAAGAATTTTGCAACCAATAGGCGTGTGTAATTGCACGCACAGCACTGTATATATAGAGTAATAATTGTACCACTTATTTGAGGATTTATTAAGGACGTGTCTGGAGCAGACATTTCTCCGGCGAATATATACGTCCCGCCCGAAGAGAAATTTGTGTGCTTTGTAAATCTATCACGGTAAACAACGAAATTACGAGATCGAGATAGTACACGAGTAGTCTTAAGTTTTAAAAAGATGTATATTCTTAGATTTTAGTTTTTTCGAGAGACTTACACATTACATATATATATATGTATAGGTATATTAGGGTGAGCCGAAAAAAAATTTTGTAAATCGATTAGCAATACCCCCCAAAAGTTAGCTATGGACCTCAATTTCATCGAAATCATTTCGTCGATTAATATCTTCAGGTTGCCCCTCGACTTCGAAATTAGTATTTATGCATTTCTTGAATACATGTGTCAAAATTCGAAAAAATATTTAAATTTCAATACAATTTGGTACTACCTGTTCTTTTTTGGTCGCTGAACACGAATCCGAAGTCGGAAGTACACATTTCAAAATGGCGGATCCAATATACGACATACAGAGTGAGTAAAAAGTTTCGGACCGGTTAAATATCTTGAAAAATAAGTATTTCCGAAAGAAATGTTTCCTACAAAAGTTGTATGGTTTTAAATGATCTATTCACTGATATGATCAATCTAACCTTGGGCGTCGTCAAGGTCAGGTCAAGGTCACATTGATTTTTTTTAAATGGCACACCCTATTTTTTATTCCGGAATCTAATAGTCGATGTCGAGAGCTTTTTAAAACACTATAATAAAATTATTTTTTAGTGAGTATTTTGTAAACGCTACCCAAGGTCAGACTGACCATATCAGTGAATAGATCATTTAAAACCATACAACTTTTGTAGGAAACATTTCTTTCGAAAATGCTTAGTTTTCGAGATATTTAACCGGTCCGGAACTTTTTACTCACTCCGTATGTCGTCATATTGGATCCGCCATTTTGAAATGTGTACTTCTGACTTCGGATTCGTGTTCAGCGATTAAAAAAGAACAGGTAGTACCAAATTGCATTGAAATTTAAATATTTTCTCGAATTTTGACACATGTATCCAAGAAATGCAAAAATACTAATTTCAAAGTCGAAGGGCAACCTGAAGATATTAATCGATTTCGATGAAATTTTACCTAAATCATATTGAGGTCTACAGTTAACTTTTGGGGGATATTGCTAATCGATTTTCAAAAATTTTTTTTCGGCCCACCCTAATACGTATACACATATGTATATGTATATACAGGGTGGCCCATGTAAAGTGTTACAAGCTATTATCTCTGAAAGTGTGTGTCAAATGACTAATATATTCAGACAAAAGTTTTATGACTTTGAGGGAAGCATAGACCAAGATGGTACCATTTGTTTGACCTTGGGTAGCGTTGTAAAATGAGAGCAAGGTCACTTTGAATTTTTTAAATGGAACCCCCCATTTTTTATTACATATTCTTGTAACTTACCTCGAGAGCTTTCCAAAACACTATAATTAAGTTCATTTTCATTAAGTATTATACTTTTCGAGTTATGAGGCTCGAAAGTTACAGTACAGTCGGCATTAGCATTACGCAAATTGTCCGATCGACGGTTCAGATAAAAATAAATTTTTAGTGTAAAAATGAAAATAAGAGGAATAATCTCCAATGGCCTTCACCTTGACAAATGTTATTCAGGACATGATCCTGAACAACATTCAAGAGGTTTAAACCGTCGGTCGAACAATTTGCGTAATGCTAATGCCGACTGTACTGTAACTTTCAAGCCTCATAACTCGAAAAGTACCCAATGAAAATGAACTTAATTATAGTGTTTTGGAAAACTCTCGAGATAAGCTACAAGAATATGTAATAAAAAATGGAGGGTTCCATTTAAAAAATTCAAAGTGACCTTGCTCTCACTTTGACAACTCTACCCAAGGTCAAACAAATGGTACCATCTTGGTCTACGCTCTCCTCAATGTCATAAAACTTTTGTCTGAACATATTAGTCATTTGATACACACTTTCAGAGATAATAGCTTGTAACACTTTACATGGGCCTGTATGAATAAGTAAGATTAGTTCGCGATTTCAGCCTTTTAGTCGAGCAAAAATGAATGAACGAATACGCAAATCCAGAGACTGAAACGAAAAACTATACTTTTCCGAAAAAAAAGACGGAAAAAGTACTCATGATTATAGAGATTTGGGGAAACAGTATAATCGATCCACACGGTTAACATTCATCTGTACGCGCATGTTCACACACATACGAAGGTTGTAAAGGAGAGGAAACATGAGAGGGAGGAGGGTGTGGAATCAAACTCGAATATTCGTCCTCGTTAAAATTATTACCAAAGGAATACCATAGTGCAAATTATCAAAGGCAACAGTGGCGGATACAGGGAGGGGACGATCGCCCCCCTCCCCAGAGTTCTCCAAACAGAAAGTTAGAATTTATTATATAACAAAATTTGTTTTTAAATTACATTTCATATTATGTTAATATGTATGTAAAAATATATCTGGCTAATAAAATGCTGAATATCAAACATGTATAATTTATATTTCATGATCATGATAATAATAATAGTAATAATAATAACAGTAAATACATATAATAAAACAATAAAGTGATAAAAATAATTAAAAAATATTAAAAATAACATCAACGATAAAAATGACATCAATAATAAGTAAATACATTTCATACCGTCCCGCCCCCTCCCAGAACAACTCTCTGGATCCGCCCTTGAAAGGCACTTTTGCACGACGTTTAATTCGCAGCCGGTTTAAGGCGAATCCTGAATATCCTAAGACTCGGGATACTAAGTGTTTAATCTGAAGACAATCTTAGCTTTCCTTTTTTAGGCTTCCTCGAGCCTAAAAAAGAGCTGCTTTCAACGAGATTTCACGTGATCAAATCTTTTTCTAAAATTTGAAGACTTTTTTTAAGATTCTCAAGATACAGCCCGTGCAGCTCTCAATTCTCTAACTAGAGCCAACCGGCCCCGATTTAATCGTAATGAATTTTGCCCTTTCTATTTGCGTCTGTATTCCCTCACAGTGTTTATCTTTTTCTCTCTGTCTATATCTTCCTTTATATGTAAATCCCTTTCGCCACAACCTTCCACGCATTCTCTCTCTCTCTCTCTCTCTCTCTCTCTCTCTCTCTCTCTCTCTCCCCTTTTAAATTCTTAAATTTGCAAAAGGCATAAAAAATTGTAATTACGTACAATTGAATACATAATGGGATCTGTTAAAGAGTAGTCAGAATGTTTCGCGATAACGATAAAAACAGTACGTATAATTACGCGGCACTCGTACGTGGATATAATGGAGCAATATATAATGTAGAGCACATACGCACACGATATTGCTACCGAAAGATTTTCAATAGAATTAATTCATCTGTCATGTAAGATGTGTAAGACGATTAATTTCTCTTTTTAGGATCACAGAATAGTAGCGCCCGAGCATAGCGGTATTTCACTTTGAAGAAAGATATACGGGAAGGAACGGTAAAATGCGCGTTCTCCATAAGTAATTAAGTTTGTCAATTAAGTGGAATCACACGTATACATGCGCATACACGCATACATACACTTATCTAACAATAATAGAGAACTGCGCGCAACATCGTTCGTCCCCAGAAATCTCTCCGATTAAAGCTAGTACATATGTTACGTGTAAATAAATGCTTAATATGTTATAAAAAGGAATATAGCATAGTATAAATTATCAAATAGCTTAACAATACTGCTTGTGCCAACAGTCGCTGGACGAATAGTTGCAGTTCTACTCGACGTATACGTTGGAATTCGCACGAATTCGCTGTAACATAGTATATGTATACATATCAATTATATTGTATTTTCGAAGTTCGAAGAAAACATTAGCGCTAGAATATATCAAAATCAAAATTTGGAATGTCATTGTAAATGTTGTCGAAATATCCGGCCATCTATATTGCAGAGATCACCTCTATAAAGCTAGCAGAACTAAATGAGCAGAATCGAAAAAGACCTTTTAAACTATTTAGTGCTCATTTTGTGCTAATGTGTGCTACAAAATATAATTATATCACGTATAATTATATCGGCACAAATTATATCGCTTCTATTGTGAAAATTGCGACTGATTCTGCTCGTGGCGAAGGATATTTTACTCTTGAGCCTAGTAGGGATCAGGGATTTCCCCGAAGAAATGGCGGGGGCACAAAATCTGAAACTTCATATTTTGGCGGCACAAATTATAGCACTTTCTCTATCAAGGATATTTTACTCTTGAAACCAATAGGCTAGCTTCATAATAAGTTAGTAAAACCACAAATTTGTTCTAAATAGTACTATATATAGCTACGAAATTATGTTTTGTAACACGAAATCAGTACTATTTATATCTTCTTTTATCTTCCTTTTTCTTTTTTTTTTCTTGTGATTCTGGTTGAAGCTAGCAGCGCCACGCGTTCTTCTAAATGGCATGTGATACAAAATTGTTCTTTGTAGCACAAATAAGTACAAAATGAGCATTAAATAATTAAAAAAGTATTTTTCGATTCTATTCATTTGTCCTGCTAGCTTGACAGAGGTATAGAGATGTTATGTCTTCGATTCGAGTTCACACGCCTTGGCGAATAAATAACTTTTTCACGTCTGACGCTGTACGAATGATGATATTAAATATAACGAATAAATACTAATTCTCATAATATTTTAATAAGATGAACTTGCTCAATTAATGATAAAAAAGAAAAGAAATAACAATCGCATTTTTACACTGCAAATCCAAGTATATAAATTGACTTCAATATATGTGTGATATTAGTTTTCCGTGCAAAAATAATACTACATTACACCCGCATACAAAAATGGATATACACACTTAAACGTGTAGTATAGAGTGATTTTTACACAACAAACTAAATCATACACATATATTAAAGTCACATTTTACTTGGATTTGCAGTGTATAGAGAGCAAATGTAATTTAGAACTCGATATTTAGAAACAATTACTAGGGAATAAGAGGATCGAACTTACGCAGGACAAGTAAAAAATATAAAAAGAATTATCATGATACACGCCGTTATTTATACACCTAATAATAAATTTTTTCTTTTAAATAGAAACGATTATTTCCAACAGGTTATTTATCAAGTACTTCCCAGTATATATATATATATATCTATATAGAATGCGTTTTAATAGTAAAGTCGTTTCGCAAAGTTGTGCTTCTTTCTATGATATAATCTCCACGGGTAGTGTTCTTGGTCCTTGAATTCGATTCTTCGATTTCCTACCTTCGTCCGTCCGTCGAGTGTGTTGTACGTATGTACGTTTGTGTTTGTGATTATGTGTGTATGATTATCGAAAGTTTCGCTTTTCAAGCTCTCTTTGGAAGTTTTCCTCTCGGAAGAAATGCTCAGATATCACGACGTACGTCTCGATTCGAAATAAATATGAGGACTGTCGCGTTACGTCGTGTAAAAGTCGTACGTCTCGATTCGAAATAAGTATGAGGACGTATCGCGTAAAAGTCGCTACTTAATCCACGCGGAGATTCCGTCTTCTCGGGTCTGCCTGTTTTGATCATCTTGCAGCGTCGCGTTTCGTTTCGCTCACTGTCTTTTTTGCCAGAGTTGTGTTTCCTCGCAATGTTATTATACGATTTGCCCGCATCGATGCGGGAGGATGTACGCTGACTGCGGAATTTCACTCCCAAGAATATTGCAGTCGGAAGACGCCGATAAGAATGGATAAAAAGTAAACTTTTCCGCGCGTACGCGTTATACGCTTGTTGTGTGTCGCACCTTTCTTCCTCTTTCGATCCTACCCTTTAGATCTTGGAGATGTAAAGCGGTCGATGAACCTGCTGCGGGTTTCCATTCTGCTTCGAGTATCGCGCGTTCTGTAGCAGCTCTCGGGTCTCGCTGGGCGAGCTTGGGCTGAGGCTATTGGTGGTCGAGGTCTCGACACGGTCGCTGATGATCTCCTCCTCAGTAATCTGCTCCAGGTACAGTGCCGACTGGACCGCCGACTGATTGTCGCCGTTGATCGCGACCTGCGGCGTGTACGCCGGTGGCGGGCTCCGTGGCGGCGAACCGCCGCCGTCGACTTTGCCATTGTCCTTGATCTCGAGACATGTATCCGATGATACCTGTCTCATCTGTTTCGCCCGTCTGGCGTGACGAGTGGTCAGTCCACCGGTTTCCACATCCCGCTCCAATCGATGTCCTGATCGGGATCTGGTGAGCTGCCGTTGTACGTATTCCTCGAGATCGTCCTCCTCCTTCTTCGCGATCACGCGATTCAAAATGATCAAGAAAATTCCGACTAGGATTGCGAACAGGCCGACCGCGACCAGCTCATTCCACCAACCGCCAGATGCCTTGGTGCCCCAGTGAGCGAGGTCGCCTGGCAACAAGCCACTCATC